AAGACCATGGAGAGGTGCACCATGATGATCAGCAGCGACTGCCGCACTATCATCTCAGAGGATAATTCGGGGGCGGACGCGTAATGGAGGAGGAGGGGGCAACGGAGAGGGGGGGGCAGCGGAAAGCGTCAGCAACGCGTGGCGGGAGGTGGCTCCGCGACCCTGTGCCGTGGCGCGGGGACGCCGCGCGCGCCAGCGAATGCCGCTGCTGCCGCTCCTGCCGGGCCCTCGCTGAAGGGGGCCCCTTCGTCGGACGGGGGGGCGTCGCAGGGTGAGACCCCCAGGAATTCCTCCGGAATCCTAGGGCTCCCGCCGAGATCCTTAGGAAATCCCTCGGGAATCCTGGAGGCCCCGCTCAGATCCCCAAAAGTTCCCCGAATCCCAGGGATCCCGTTCAGATCCTCAAGATCTGAAAAAAAGAGCATCTTCGGGATATCTCCCGCTCCGGGCGCCCCTCGCCGCGGGGCGCCCGGGCGCCCAAGAGGGGGAGCCCTCCGCCGAGCGGGGGCGAAAACGGGGGCGCCCGGGGGGGGGGCGCCGAAAGCGGGCCTCGAAGGGGGGAGCGTCCTCCGTCGGAGCGGGCGCCCCGCGCCCCGTTGCCATAGGGGCAGGCGCGCCGCGGAGGCCGCGCCGCGCCGCGCCGCGCTCCCCGCCCGCCCCTCCCCTCGCCCCCCCCAGGGTCCGGGCGGGGGCCCCGCCGCGCGGGCGCTCTCCCTCCGCCCGCCGGGGGGCCCGCTCGCTCCGTCGCGGAGCGGGCGGGCGCGCGGGCGGGGCCGGGCGGCTCAACCCGCAGCAAAGGGGGAGCGGGAGGCGGGGGCCTGTGCTGCTTAGATCCGGGTCTTGATATCTGGTGGCCGCCCCGAAAAATAGAAAAGCGCGAAAAGCGCGAAAAGTAGAAAAGCGCGAAAAGCGCGAAAAGTGCGAAAAGTAGAAAAGAGCGAAAAATGCCAAAAGTGCGAAAAGTGCGAAAAGCGCGAAAAGTTGCGCGAAACACTTGAAACGCACTCGAAAAGTTGAAAAGCTCGAAATGTGCGAACAGCGAGAGAAGAGCGAAAATTGATACAGCGATGCGCACAAGAGGCCGAAGAGCGCGAAGTGTTCGAATGGCGCGCGAAAAGTGCAACAAAAAGCACGAAACGCGCAACAAACGCGAAAATATTAGACAACAAGGCGCCGTCGGTGGAGAAAAGCGAGAACAGCGAAACAAATGTGAAACTACGAGGACACAGTAGCACGACAAATCGGAAGACCGAGGCGCGGAAGCCTACGGAACGCTGAGAAGCCAATTCCTTGTGAGAAATTCAGCAATGAGAAACTTGGCAGACAATCCTGCTAACATTGCAAAACCAATGGAATCCGGAGAGAGGAAAGCGAGGATATACATGTCACGGAATACCCCGTTATCCTTCCTCTTCTGTTGTCCTGACATGGGAGCCGCAACGCGCGGAAACGAATAGGAGAAACACGAACAGCGGAAAACATGTAAAACACACGCGAGCGCGAGAAACGCGAACCACAGAAAACCGAGAACACGGGACGCGCGCAATAGCCGGGCGAAAAACATGAAGACCAGAAACGCATCCAAAGCGGAAGTATATTCCACCAGCCCTTTAGGGCGCAGGTGGTCTAGGGCGTTTCTTTTTCCAACCTCCTTCCCCCCCCTGCTCAGGAGGTTTTACCCCCCCTCCTCCATGGGTCTGGACGGGCTCCCGCGCGAGATGTCAGGGCGTTCTTTTTGGCCCAAGATGGCTCCAAGAGGGTCTCGGAAAGGCCAAGATGGCCTCCAAGATGGCTCAATATACCTCAAGATGGCCCAAGATAGTTTCCGACATGCCTCCAAGAGGCTCCAAAACGGCCCCAAGACGGTTCCGAGTGCCCTCCGAGCCCTCCGAGGATCCCCCCAAGAGGCCCAAACCTGTCAAACACCAACAGAAAACATATGTGTGTTGCCTTCTCGTCTTTTCGCTTGCGATGGGCTCTTGAGGCCTCAAGTTGGCCACAAGAGAGACCCAAGACGGCTCCAAGAGCGCTCAGGAGCGTTCCTGGCGAACCACCACCCTGGCCGATGGGCGAAGCATTCTGGCCGGGGCAGGGCCCAGCACGGCGCCCCGCCCTCGTGATCGCATGCCCTAGCCGTCATAGCCTAGGCGGCTGCGGACGCGGTAAAGCATGCGGCGCGGGCGAGGGCAAGCAAAAACGCCAACGGTGGCAAGCAGAGGGATCAGTGAAATAATGATCGCTGAGAAACGGCGCGCATATGCATGTAAAAGGGTGGGGCAAGGAGGGGCGGGGGAGATTAGAGCAGAGCGGCGAGGAATGAGGCACGGAGTGCACAGGGGCGAGTGTGGATGAGCGGGGAGGACAGGGGAGAGAAGTGGAGTCGAGCGGAGCGGGGCGAGGAGGAGCGCGAGAGCGGCCAAGGAGCGGGGGGTAGTGGAATTGACCGGGATGGGAATGAACGGGAAGGAGTTGGGAGGAACGCGGGGGGCGGCGAAATGGGAGGAGCGCGAAGGAGCGACGAGAAGTACAATGGAGCGGAATGATGCGAACGAAAGGGAACGAGTGGGGAGGAGTTGAAAGGAGCGGGGGGAGATGGAAAGGAACGTGAAATAGTGGGACGGAGCGGATTGAAGTTGGGAGCACGGAGACGAAAGGAGAGGACCGGGGAGGAGTGGGCAACAGTGGGGAGGAGCGCGGACGGGAGAAGGGGATTGGAATAGAATGGGGAGGCGCGGGAGGAGTGCGGAGGTTTGCGGGGGCATGCGGCGAATGGGGATACGAGCAAAGTGGAAGGAAGCGGGAAAGGGTAGAGAGGAGAGGAGGGGGAGAAACGAGGGGGAGCGGGGAGGCGGCAGGAAGGAGCTGATAGGGGGACTGGGGGAGAAAATGGAGCACGCAGCCGATGCCAAGAGACACCCGAAACGAAGTACGCTTCATAACGCGCGCTTCCTGCCGCGTCGCATGCGGGGCGGATGCTTTCCAGCAGCTGCGTCTAATCGAAAGATTTCGGGGGCGCCCAAATCATCCCGAACTCTCGCCGGAGGCCCGAGTTACGCACGGCCCGAAAACCACTGGGAAGATCGAGGTTCGAGGATCGAGGATCGAGGTTGTTGAACGCGCTCGGCAACTATTGCGAAAAACTTAGAAAAAGGCAAAGACAAGAAAAACAACCGTGCTCCGTGCGAGGAAAAGCGGAACGCAGGAAAAACGCAAGTGGAACACGGCCACGCCTCATCATCCTGCCCCTCCTGCCGCTCTCTAGTGTTTCTTTTCGAATATGTTGAACCATTCGCGCGTTTCGAACTGGTCCTCCTTCTCGCGCTGCGCACAGAGGTTTCGGGGGCGCCCAATATCATCCCAAACTTCCGCTGGAGGCCCGAGTTACGCACGGTCCGAAAACCACTTGGAAGATCGAGGTTCGAGGATCGAGGATCGAGGTTTTCGAACGCGCTCGGCAACTATTGCGAAAAACTTAGAAAAAACAAAGACAAGAAAAACAAGCGTGCTCCATACGAGGACAAGCGAAACGCAAGAACAACACATGTGGAACACGGCCACGCCTCATCTTCCTGCCCCTCCTGCCGCTCCTTTGTTTTTCGGCTTGTCCTGCTTCTCGCGCTGCGCGCTGTTAAAAATGCGGTTCCTTCCCAAAGCGTTTCTCATTCCACGTTCGCTCTTATCGCGCAAGTCCCGCTTTGCTGCCTTTCGTTATTATCGCAAGTTTCAAACGCACGTTCCCCGTTTTATCAGGGTTCGACTTTCTTGTTTTTCGCACCTATTAGCGTTTCTCAACTTGTTGCACTGTGTTGCTCCGTACTTCTCGCACCTTTCGTCCTTCTCACACCTGTTTGTACATGGTCGCACTTTTCTGCTTTTCTACTTTTCGCGCTTTTCTACTTTTCGCACGTTCGCACTTTTCGCGCTTTTCTACTTTTCGCACTTTCCTGCTTTTCTACTTTTCGCACTTTTCGCGCTTTTCGCGCTGTTCTACTTTTCTACTTTTCGCACTTTTCACACTTTTCGACACTTTTCGCACTTTTCTACTTTTCTACTTTTCGCACTTTTCTACTTTTCGCATTTTTCGCGTCCGCCACCGGATGTTTGAGACGCTTAGATAGCCGGCTTAGGCGGGGGCGAGGAGGGGGCGGTGGCGCAGATGGGGGTGGAGGGGGGGGGAGGGGGGGGAGAGAGGGCGAGGCGGGGGAGACGGAGGGGGCGAGGAGGAGGTGTCGAGCATGGGGGAGAGGAGGGGGAGGAGGAGGGCGAGCATGGGGTCGGATGAGGGTGGGGGGTTGGGGGGGCGGAAGACGGGAGAGGAGGACGAGGAAGAGATGGGAGGAAAGGGATGAAAGGAGGGAGGCGATGAAAGTGGCGGAGGAGGGGGGGGGACAAAGAGCAGGCAGGACTCCTCCTTTCCTCCTCGCCCTCCTCCCGAGGGAGGATCGGATGAAGCCTTGGCGTCGGGGAACTGCTGCTTGCCCGGCGACCGCGCCGACTCGGAAAACCCGCGGAACGGCCCTTGGCCTCCAGGATCGGGCCAGAGCAGGAGCGAGGACGAGGACGAGGACGAGGAGGAGGAGGAGGAGGAGGAGGAGGAGGAGGAGGAGGAACCTGGGATATTCAGACTTCAGTTCGTCAGCTGGTCAGCGGTCAGGAGGGGGAGGTGGAGGAGGAGGAGGAGGAGGAGGAGGAGGGAGGGAGAGGAGGGAGGGAGGAGGAGGAGAAGGAGGAAGAGGAGGAGGAGGAGGAGGAGGAGGAGGAGAAGGAGGAGGAGAGGAGGAGCAGGACGAGGAGGCAGGGAAGGAGCAGGAGGAGGGGAGGAGGCAGGTGCAGGAGGAGGAGGAGCAGGAGGAGGAGGAGGAGGACTGGAAAGAGACATAGGAAGAGGAGGGGTCTGGACCGCTGACGGGCCTAAACCTTCCGCGGGTCCGCTCGACCGCTTGCTGCGAGCCCGCTCCGCGGCCTTGCCCTGCCGTGCAGTGAAGGCGCCGGGCGTGCAGGCGCATCGCGCCGCGGCTACCGCCTGCGCTGAAGGCCTGGGCCCTGAGGGGCCCGCGTCGAGTGGTGGCGGGGCCGGCGTGGAGGCACAAGCGGCAGGCTCGACCTCGAGGCACGATGCAGTCCTGCGGCTCAGCGGGGGACAGCCGCGGCCTCCAAGAGAGCGGCACCGCCCTCTGGGTCGACGACCGCGGCACCATCGACGGCGTCGTGGCCAGGACCCAGTGGCCGTAGGGGGACGTTGAGTCGAGATACGCGTTCGGCACACGTGGGACGGCCGCCGTGGATGTCAGCGCGCCCACAGTGACAGCAAGGACGTAGAAAGCAGAGTGGGACTGCCACGGCGAGGATGGCACTTCCAGTCCCACCAACATCGCGGCTGTGATACAGGACAACACGAAGTTCGCCAGCCGTGAACATCCCCTAAGATACTTCGGCCCGTGGCGCTAGCAACCAAGACAACCCGTTCTCGCAGTGTGGTTGAGCTTCGCTGCTCTGGTATGGAAGCGCTCACGTCAAGGCTTTCACTGTTCCCGACTGGGAGCTCCGCGTGAATTCGACGATCACTTTACACGGACACTGCGTGCCAGCAGGTGGTCACGAAGTCTGCCGGACTCGGGCCATTTCTAGATGGCAGCGGCAAGGGCCGCATGGACATCTCAACCTTTCTCCTTGCCGGCCCGATCGATGTCCAAGGCGGCGTGGCAACCTCCAGGGACCGTCCAAGCTCCGCTGTCCAAGCGCGCCCACCGCCTCTCATGAACAACTCTCTGACATCCTGCGACCGTTGGGATTCACCTTCCCTGGCCAACTTGTCCAAGTCTCTTCCTTATCCACGCGTTCTCCTTCTGGGGTGCGCCAGCCGTCGCTTGACTTCTTCTTCTTCTTCTTCTTCTTCGTCTTCTTCGTCTTCTTCTTCTTCTTCGGCGCTTTTAGTAAGCATTCGCGCGTTCGGCGCCTGTTGTCGTGTGTCGTGCTAACCCCGCCGGGCCGAGCGTAACACGGCTCATGGGGAAGCGTGTCCTCCGACATCTACGCCCTCTTCTCCTCGATTCTCGTCGCCGCCTGCGCGCAGTCGGCATGACACAACGAACCTTCGGAGACCTCCTGGTCGCTACACCCAAGAAAAATCCGGCAACTCCGTGGTCGCCCAGGCGCGCTCGTCTCCATCGACTCCGAGGCGGGCGACGCGCTCGTCGTCCGGCCTCCCGTGCTGCCAACCTCGGACAGAACGGGGCTCTCTGGAGCCCGTCGCCTCCTCGTGCCATTTTGGGGGTGCGAGAGAGTCTGCCTTGCACGGACAGCCTGCCTCATCTGTACACCTCTCGGCCGAGGGCGCCGTCGACAGCACGACGCCCAAGCGCCAGGCAGGACGAGGAGACTACCCCCCCTCCCCAGAGAGCCAGGCGGCAACTCCATTTTCCATTGCCGATGCCTCCGTCGAGCGA